TGCCGCTTCCCTCAGCGCCGACCCGCAACCCCGGCGGCTGTGGCTGAGCGCGCTGCCCACCTGTGTGTAGGTACAGACCGTCCTCGCCGGATGCGATTCGGGGGCACGGCCTCGTTTTTGAGCACAAATTGTATTTAAATAGCAGAAACGAGCACAAATGCCCTGGCTGTTGGCATATTTGGGCACGCTGATTCCTAGCGCTGTTACGTGGCCCAAGCTGCTACTTCCCAATCCAAAGGTGTTGGTAATTTGAATCCAGGTACTACCCAGGCCGGTGGTTTTACAAATCCGAGAAAAGGAAGTTTCTGTTTGACGGCTGTTACATGCATTGCTGCATAAAACGGCAGTGGCTCCCTGTTTTGCTTGTTAATAGGCTGACAGTCATCCTCCCTTTTACATTTCAGTAGTGTCTGACCCTAAGTTAATGTTTTGTCGTGGACACTTCATGCACAAAACCTTGACATCATTCCTGTCTCCTCACAGCTAGGTCACACAGCTTGAATGCTAAACTCTTCCCACGTTTCACTTGTAACACGGTGAGGGAGTCAGTGGCTTGATTAACCATAGGCAAGGTCACTAAGGTCCCAACATCTCCTGGTTCTTCTGGGTTTCGTGCCCAAGACCAGAAATGACTCCAAGAGCGATCTGCCTATGAAGTCAATGCAGCTGCATCTAGAGTGCCCAGTCCAGGGATGCTGGGGTTTGTAACACGATTGTGCTCGCTTCCACTCCCACAGAGGCAGGTTCCCACTGCTTGTATCAGTACTACAGAAGTTTAAGAAAGAAAATTTAATTTGAATATATTTTAAAGAACGTTTCAAAGGTGGACATAGAAGCACAGAGATGGCAGAGGACTGGACCTGAATTTAGGTGACCATTCAGTACTAGGTCAGGCCTCAGAGCCCAGGTCTCTGGTCTCCCAGTCCAGCACTTTCCCCTCACTGCCCATGACTGTACACAGATCTGAACACAGGCTTACCCACCTCGTTGTGTGTCGAGGGAATGTTGGGATGTGCCTAGTGCTCTACATCATTAGCAACAAGTAAAGAACTTTTGTCATTGCTGCAGGCAGTATCATCTGTGCTGCTTTTTTTGGGTCTCCATTAAAGATATTTTCTCATTATTATAAATGGAGATTATTAATTGTTTCAGTAACCATCCAGTGGCCAAGTCACAGTTCTCCAGGGTATCTCAGGAAAACTAGTTTGAGGATCTGACATCTAGCCCAGTTCTCGGCACATTAACTTTGGGTAAGCTGTACACCCCAGGAACACTCAAAGAATTATTTGAGATCATTGGACCCAACCATTAACAATACATTCACACTTTTGCAGGGGCATAGAGGAAAAAACTGATTCATCAGCAGTTCTGCTGGATGTTCCTCTGTCTTCCCAGAGAAGTGTCAGTTTTATTGCCTGTTGTAACCAGTATCAGGATGTGCTGTTTGCTGCAGTGGAAATGATGTCTTTCCAAAGAGAGTCATGGGTTTTCACCCCACAAAATTCTGCCTCCCTTTGGACCAAGGAAATGCCCTGCCTTTGTCTGTGGGGTTGCCCACAGAGGAGGGACATATGGGGGAATGTGGGGCAGCTTGACATGTGCTACTGGAGCTCAGGTGTGTGTGCTGGAACTGCGCTGAGTACATTACAGTGCCCCAAGCACCCTGGGGATGTTACCAAACCAGGGGGGAAACCTGCATACTCCTGACCCTGCAGGTTGTGAAATCACCTTGGTACTGAGCATCATTGCTCTGGCACTCCAAAAATTGCTGTCACAATGCATTCTGTGGGAATGTGGTTGTCAGGAGTGGAACAGCTGGAGGCCTCCCACAGCACTCGGTGAAGACCAAAGCCCAGTGAGCTCTCTGTTGTAGGGGAAGGGGAAAGCTGGCAGCACGTGCTGCACAGCGAGCACTGAGCATTAACCTGCTCTGCATTTCTTTTGGAGCAAAATGGAAGGGTAGGATTTCTATCACATATGTGTGCCACTCTGCTACAGCTCTGAATGGCGCTTTACAAAATAGATAATGATGTCTCATTGCTCCAGAGAGTTTCCAAACTAAATTAAGAAAGAATGATGGGAAGAGATGACCGTACAATGAGGTGCAGATGCTGGGAATAGGGATAATGAGGGGGGAACAATATGATTATGTCCTTTCAAAGCAAATGCCTCAGGGTAGCTACTTTTGGGGACAGAGTATAAAAGGGGCATGGGGAAGATGTGACGCAAAGGCAGCATCAGCACAGGGTTCAAGTCGGCCCTCAAGAGCAGATTTGTCTGCTGGGGAGCATTTGTTGACTCTCAAATCCCTGCAAAAAGACTGCCTTGACCCACGCTCAGATGCTGTCAAGGCCAAACAGGTCATGTGGATTAGCATAAGGCCATGGTGTCATTCCCAGGGCCTGCAGGGCCTTGGTGGATTCAAGCAACCCAGAGCCCAGGTTTAGGATGACATGAGCATCCAGAAATGAGCATATCTTTATGCATCTGCTCAAATCTTGTTATGAGGGGAAGTTTGAAAACTAATGTGAGAGGAAGAAGTTGACATGGTTTTATTTAAAATAACTTCTTTCTCCTATCTCTCCAACAGTGGTCCAATGACAGAAAAAACTGAGAGAAGTGAGAGAGGAGAGGATTCCTGATGAGTAACTTCAGATGAGTGAAGAGGGCCTAGGGGAAAGGAAAGGTGTCAGGAGCAGCTGGGATGGCTGTGGGAGGTATGCAGAGAATCAGGATTTTGCATTGTTTAGTTAGGCATGAGGAACCACAAGATATTTTAGGAGCATGTGCAAGGGATTTAGTGCTGCGAATGGGGAATGTTTTTACCAACAGGGCACTGAGCAGAGCGTAATGCAGGTTCCAGCTGGAGCTTGGAGAGAATGAGGTTACCCACAGTGAGGAGATGGGTAACAAAAGCTTTTTTTTTTAAAAAAAAAGGGAACTAAAAAGAAAAAAATCAAGGAGAGTTTAATAATTATTGTTAGACTCTTAAGGGTTGCAAAACCTTTTTTAATGACACTGGTTGTGTTAAGCTGATTCATATTGGTGGAAAGTCTTGGTGGTGACATGGAAAGACCCTGTGCTTTGTGCCAAGGGACCAAGACAACATGTAGCCAGTCCAGGATGGCTGGGGAGAGAAGTAGTTTTCATTGCATCACCCCACCAAGCTCTGCTCTGTGTTTCTTGGCCTCAGGTCTGGGACCTGGGCCAATGCCAATTAAATTGGTGAGGGCACAGACAAGGTTAATGATAAAGTTAATCTCCCATTGCTGATTGGTGAGGGATCCTCACAACTTGCAACTTTTGTCCATTTGCAATTAACAGAAAAATGAAGCAGAAGGAGGCATCCTCCTTATTTCCAGCCTGGGTTCCATTCCACTCCACAGTAGGAGTATTATACACAGGTATCACTCTTTTCTCTCATATGTGCTATGCTTCTCCCAGAAGGATGACAATTTTCTTATACTAAAAAGGGCTTTCTAGAAGCAATCTTGGGAAATTGAAAGCTGGTCTCAGTGCAGATAGTAGTTTATAATTAATTAGTGAAACTTTACTTGCCTATTTTCCTCTCCTCAGCCTCACCTTCTTTTGGCTGGCACCAAGGGGTGGGACATCATGGGCACAAACAGCATGATGAGAGCTTAAGAGCCCCAAAACTAAGGTGACTTTTTAAACTGTGCAACCAGAGAAAGAAGAAATGAAATAGAGGAACAAAGCAGCATCACAGCCTGTGTATTCCCTCTCTACAGCAGTCCTTTGGGTTGTGAAGGATGGGGCTGTATCAAGAACAGCTGCTTTCTTAACCCAGCATACAAACCAGGAAGCAATGGCCACACATTTTGCAATCTGCATCCACAGATTTCATTGCCAGAATTCAAGATGGCAGGTTTCTTACCTCCCTGAAACAGGCTACTGACAAAATCCATCATGTTGGAATTTTTTCTTCAGTGTGTGCAAGCCCCTAATGCTCACCAAATGGAAGGGAAGAGAGGGACAAGGGTGAGGAAGAGGCTGTGCACGCCCTTTGACGTTGCACTCCCCAGTGCCCTGACGTGCTGCCACCCGTGACAGGACACACACACTCCACACACTGGACTTGCTAATGCAGATCTTGGGAGAAATCCCAGGAACTGAAATACCTGTTTTGCATCTGCTGAAAAGAATCTTCCCTCCTGCTCCTGAATGACAACATCTCTTTGCAGTCTGTCCTGTAAAATGCAAATATGTAAAATGCTCCTCTCTGGCCTGTTCCTCCAAGTGGATAGAGAGATATATGAAAACAATGTAATACACCAAGAAATACTTTGACAGCTGGCACCTGATTCTTTCCCAAGTGCCCTGGTGGTCACTCTTCGGCAGCTCTTTGCTGATTCATGAGGACTGCTAAAAGAAAGCATGTGTGACATCTTTTACAGAGTGTAATAAAAGGAGGAAAGTGCCCTGTGTGGCTGGAACTGCAGTTCTGTGGTCTGTCTCTGAGATGCTCCATTAGCCTGCTCCTGGCAGTGATGATACAAAAACTGGAAATCCCCAATTGTACCATTAATATGAATAGATTGAAAAAAAAATCCTGGAATGTAACAGGGAGCCAGTGAGCCTGTGCTTCTTTATTTTTATTTTTTTTGCTTTTTCTGCCCTCTCTGCTTGTATGAAAGGTCAGTAGAGAGGAAGGATGGATCTGATCCCTTGCATATTGGCACAGGCTGCACAAAACCACAGCTCTGCTTTTGTTTGAGTTCTCCTATATTTTGTTAGATCCAGACTTGCTTCTTAAGCTGAAATCTCTGGGTCTCTCTCTGGCTATGTTTTTGGCTCCACCATCTGATATTTGTGATTGACCAGACTATTAATCATGTCCTCTCACCTGTTTATTTTAAAAGACTGTCTGCTGACACTTCTGCCAGACCTAGGGAAAGGTCTTTCCTTCACCGTAAATAATAATGGCCAGATAAAAATATAGAGTCCTTCCTTGCAGAGAGATGGATTAAGTTCTTGTTTTGAAATGCAGTCTGAATGGTCCTGATGTACTGAAATGTTGCAGCTAATATAAGCAGACGAGTCAATTTACAGCTTTCATACTACATTTTAAGAAACAAAACAAGCAGATGACAACACAATAAATCTGCTTGGTGTCCCAGTCTGGTTGATGTTAGCTGAATACAGTTGTATTAGATAAGTGGATCATGCAGCTTTCTAAAAAAATAGGAAATGCACAAATTTTATGAAGAACATGGTTTTGTCTAAAGAAGTGGACAGACTTAAACAATATATCCTTTGGGAAAAATGTCTGTCAGACAGTGAAGAAGCATTGCTGTGTATGTGTTACCCTGGGTGCACAATTCAAAGCTCTTATTGGAGTAACCCTGATTATTTTGATATTGGAATACTACTAGAAAAGGAATTATAATACTCAGGGTTCAAAGGACCAAAGTAGAAAAGAAGTTTCATTTGTAGGTAAATTATTTTAAGAAAATAGGTAATTTTAAATTAACTATCACAGTTAAGTGTATAAAATATATGACTTCTCTAAATATAAAGTACTGCTTTAAGAGATAAGCTTTAGTATAAAACAAAACATTAACTGGGAGTTTAGTAAATATGTCTAGAGATACTGGGATTTTTGTCAAAGTGTAACTCCTAGAATAGTGTGAATGTTTCTCTTTTGTTTATATGCCTTCATACAAAAATGGGCAAAAGAAGCAGGCTGCAAGTGAATGCAAAAGAAAACACGTGGAGCTATTAAAATAGGTTAGCATTTGATTTCAGATTTAGGAATGAATACATACATATGCACACATAAAAGCACATGTATATGTGAAGGCACACACATACAATATATATATGGAATATATGTAAATGCTTATTTATATGTATTTTATATATATTTACATAGGCTTAAATAAAAGCAGGAGATACTTAAGTTGGATACTAAAAATGCTTTTTAATGGTGACAGTTTCCTAATAGTAATGTGGAGCAGCAGGGTCACCTGAGAAGGGTGCAGGCTTTCCAGTCCTGGTGGATTTTTAAGAAGCAAGCTGGATAAATGTATAAGGTGTGACATAAGTATTGCTAATCCCACTTTGGTGTAGGAGAACGGACTAGGCATCTCTGAGGACTCTGTCAGACAGCATTATTTTCTGTGACTCCAAGATATGAGCAAAGAATAGGTTAGATGACACACTTCCACATCTGATGAAGTGTAAGAAAAATAGCCTGTGATTTGTGGATGCAAAAAGACTTATTACTGAGCACAGTGAACAGCTCTTAGCTCATCTACTTTCTCTTTCAAGAGAAAATGTGGGTTTGATGGAAGTCCCTGGCAGAGCCAAATTGTGTAGACAGGGCTGATCAACCTATTTCTCCCTTGCTTTGCTTCATCTTCTGACTTACATCCCCTTTACAGCCTTTGGCTAGGCTTTGTGTCTCTAAAGCTGTTAGTAAAACAATTATCTAAATATATATTACAGATGTACAGCTTTGGACAGCACACTGACTCAGAAATGTCTTCCTACTGCTCTGTCACGTTCTTCCACCTGCATCTAGATTGCATATTGAGTCATATTGACAGTGTTGTTGGCTGTAAAGTAAGAGACCTTCAGTAAAGGACATTTTAAAAAACCCTGTTATTTTTCTCCAGTCTTTCAGAGTGTCTTTATGGACTGGTATCAGACTGAGTAGATTTTAGACAATATCACAGGGGTTTTGCATCATTTATAGGATGCAGCATAGATGACAGACCAAGGACTGAAAGCTGCTGGAATCAGGTTCTACAATTGCTGTGTTGCTGTAGGCAATTCACGTTTATTCGCTCCTTGCCTCAGTTTCCCCGACCTTAAAACTGGGATGATAAAGGTTGTCTGCCTCTTACAGGGAGTGGAATGACCATACTCAGCAATTTAACAGCATTTAGGAAATACAGTATGATAAACCAGTGCAAAGTTTTATTCAGACCAGAGAACTGTTACTGTAAGATCATTCTTACCATTATACTTTGTTATGTTTTATCAACTGTTTTGAAATGTTGTCATGAGCCAAATAATACAATAAATTGTAATGGGAAAGTGAGTTTTACCTACTCTTTAACCAGCCCATTTTCAACTTCCCACAAATATGGATCCCAGATGGCCATTGTTACAGCCCTGCACCAGTGCTTTCTCGACAAACACCAGAAAATTGCACTAGGAGTATGTTTGTTAGCAGTTTGGATGTACCTCTGTGCTGCTGTCCTTTCTGTCTGTCACTAACACATCTTTCCCCTGCATTGCTGCAAACACCCATGAATGAAGCCAGGGACTGTCTATAATCAGGAGAAAAATAGAAGAGGAGCTTCTTAGACCTTTAAGAAGCAAAACAACAGACAAAACAAACCAGCCATGTTATCATAAAGCAAGGGGTTTTCCATTCTTACACTCCTTATATTAACATGTGTTCATTAAAAACACACCACAACCATTTTAAAATAGCTCCTAAAAATGTCCCATTACTTGCTTACTCCACACTGCCATGTCAAGAATATGCAGGACAGTAGAAGGTTTCTCAGAGTACTGTATTGTACTGTTGTAAGACAACAGTCTGCCTGTTTTTATTTTTAAGCACTAAAAGTCTCTCATGACAAAGCATGGATTGTACAGTTCTGGAAGAAACCCACTTCAGCAAGTCACAGGTGTACCTTTTATGTGCAGGTGAAATGCATACAGTCTTTGAGAGAGGTCAGTTATTCTTAAGGCATGCATTTTCAGTTCAGAACCATCAGATAATTAAGCAGATGTGTATTCAAAATAAGAAAACATTGGATTCCTTTTCTCTTACATGCTTTTTATAGGACTGGCTTGATTTACCAATTGTTCCTGATGTTGCTGAGATAAAAAGAGAAGCAGGGAATTATCCTACTGTATGATGTACATTTGATTTTTATAGGGTTTTTGGGCTTGCTTTCTATGAAAGCTGCATTCCAAGCAGCACTTTCTGCTCATGAATATAGAATTACATTACTGTAAATGTTACATGTTGCTTTACATTTTAATTGAGGATCTGGTGTTCTACCTGGGTAAGTGCCCATCAGCATTAGATGACACACAATTAAAGCAGAGTGGCTAAACCTAATTTTCTAAGGCAAATGTTTAAAATCGCATCTGTGCCTATTTTTGGATCAAAACCCCTTATCAAGCTGTACACTGGCTTTCCTTGCAAATCCGAATGTGCAGACCATGGCAGTATGAATCATCAGCCTGTCTCTGATCAGCATTCAGGGTATATTCTGGTTTGTCTATAATACTAATTGAGTTTGGCTTTGCACCTGAAAGCACATGCTTTATTTTGACTGCATGGGAATATCATACAGGGAAAGACTCTTCTGTATTTCAGTGAAATTTACTGTACATTTGTAGAAATCATTAAGAGTATTTTTTTTCCCTCAAGGCTGCTGCAAGCTTACATTTTGGTTCATGAGAGATGAATTCTATTCCTAAAACTAAAATCAGTATTTCATTATTCTGTAATACTTATGTTACAGTAGTACTTAGAGCTTCCTCTTGCTGCTCCTATAAAATTCTTCCAAAATTCGGTAAATCATAATAATCTCCAAAGTCACTATTTGCACATGCTAAGCAGATGGTTCCTAAGAGATGGCTGCTTAAACCACACTCTTTTTAGCATGCTCAGTTTGGGGCTTTGCAATTGCTTTTTTTGGAAGCCAGGGGCTGCTCTGGTCCCTGGCAATTCTGCTAAATTCAGGGAGATTGTTTTCCTGTTTTTGTTTTCTTTTCTTTTTTTTAATGAATCCTTCCCTGATATGATGGAATTAGCCTGACTGAAATGGAGAGGAAGAGAGGTGCATGAAGATACATAAATCTTAGGCAGCTGATGGAGAATAATGGTGCAGAGGGGAGCTGGGACCAGCAGGAGGGAGGAAGTGAGAGGAAGAATCCTGATCTTGAGGAACACATTACTTACAGATGTGGAAAATGAACAGGGAGAAGTGTCTTTCACCATCACCATACATCACCCCTCTGTGTGTTTATGTGTCTCTTTTGTTGCCAGAGAAGACAATCCCAGCAAAGGGAGTGTTTTCTTCTCCCATGAAAAGTTTCCTTCTTGGCTTGTGAGGTCAAAGTCTCTATATTAAGTCTTCAGATCTCTCAATGGGTCCTCTGATAATAATGCATTCAGGGACTCATGTGGGGGATGGGAAGCAAATCTGCCCCCAGCTCCATTCCAGAATTTATATGCAGATATGTATTAAAGAGCATTCATGTTGCAGAGTAAGGCACTGGAATGTTCAGAAACACCTAAATTCAGGTGCCAAAATGACATTAAATTGTCCTCAGTGTAAATATACATTTTACTTGCATGCTGACACATTAGCTTTTTTAGGATTAAGCCATTCCTTTTTAGGTGTCCAGGGTCAATTAAGGAAGGAGTCAGAGTTGCATATGGAATGAGTCTGTTCCCTGGAGGCC